ATATTATTTCATTTAATGCTCTTAAAATGAAAGGTGATATGATGGATATATGAAATTAATCAGAAAAAGACAGAAACGTGTAGTTTGTAGAAAACATAGAAAATGAAAGAACGGAGACACATTACGAATGAAAAAAATGTATTGATGGATCATGTATTGTCCCGTGTTTCGAATTGTACCATATCTTACTAGATTATTAGAAATATTACGAAACATCATTAAAGTTGTACTGTTAAATTTTTAATGCACTAATTCAAACGGAATAAATAAATAACATTGGTTTTAACGTAGTACAATTCAGTGTTTCAATATATTTTCTGAGATCAGTGCACGTCGACGAAAAATTTCGTCGTTCGTCAGTAAAAGTTAGTTAAAAATTCCAGGCCTGGCTCGTTTCACGAGAATACACGTTTACAATCGTATTGTCGGGGATAATTCAAACTTTGGATCGTCGAAAGATAATTGATCGCACGAACTGGCGCGTAGTTGAGCATAGTCTACTGACCGGAGAATTTATTATCGCGTTAAATCTCGTACGTGTTCGATATTTCACGGGTAATTTCGCGTTTCGAGAGTTACCTTCGGTGCGGAAAGTACGTGCGATAAGATACAACTGAGAGAAGTATGTACCGCGTGCGAGCAAACGGAGCGTTACACTTCCGGTGAAAAAAAGAGAGAGAGAGAGAGAGAGAAGAAAAAACAATGACGAAAGAACGACGCGAAGCAGTTAGGGGCGAAGGGTACAAAACGATAAGATGCGGCGAGCAGCAAAGATGAGGGTAAAGCTTTTCTTATCTGAATTTCAAGCGCCGGCCTGTAAGAAGAATGTTATGCTCCTTGTCTGCCCCACGTTGGGTTTCTCGCGCCACCAACGGTTGCGCGAGGAAAGTTTCGCGATATCGTCGACGACTAATTAAAGCACGGAATAAGAGGCAGCAATTAGCAGGGCGGTTCCATTTAATTTCGCGGGCCGATTTAAGACGCGGCCGAGGAAGCAAGCAAGCGGCTTCGCATTATGCGTTGTACGTCATCGTCCGCGAGTGCAAAGCCGTATATTTCAGAATTCTAGGTCCACGATTTGTTAACACGAGCGCTACAACACTCCAACATTTCCTTTTCTTTTCTTCTTTTTTTTTTTTTGTTTCAGGGGAAGAAATTTTCCACGGGGAAGTCCTATTAACGCGCGATTAAATATTTGAAAAGCCGGCTCGAGCCCTCGGTTGAATTAAAAATAAATTCTTCTCTGATTTTACGGGCGATTTATTTCCACGGCGGAGTTAATGACTTTTCTTTTACTGTGCTCCAACATGAGCTTAATTTTATCTCTTCTCGGCACTGCATCTCCATCTCTTTCGATCGCTTCGATCCTTTCTTCTTTGTTCTTTTTCCAGACATTCATTTTTGAAACATTCATTTTCTTCCGTCGTGTTTCTGATACACCGTCGATAACGCGATGTTCCTTGTTTTAATTGAGGAAC